GAGACGGGCCAAAGAAAAAGTTTGGAATGCAGTTTTTGCGGTGTCGATAACCATTCCATTGTTGTCACACCAGTTTGCTAGTAGTTTAAGTGCACAATTTAGGGCACTTTCTGTCCTCTGCTGAGCGTTTTTCTTAGGGGCGGAATACCATAGAACAAGATTATCTGCATAAAGTAAGCACTTGATGCCCGTGACCGTCTGTACCAATTCGGCTATGTCATTGATGAAGACATTGAAAAGAGTGCAGCTTGTGACAGCTCCCTGTGGGTGGCCTGTGTGTAAAAGATTGGATTTTGATAGAGCACTTCCATATCTGACTATACATGATCTTTGTCCAATGAATACTTTTACCCAGTTTAGCATGTTATACTTAATACCAACGTTTGCCAATTTTAGAATTAGCTTCTCTTTCCATACTAAATAATATGCTGATTTGAAATCGAAAAAAACAGCCGTAAGGGTATTTCTTGCATCAAGGGCATCTTTGATGTGTTGGGAGAAAGTGACTACTTGTTCGGTAGTTGATCCTTGTGGCCTTAAACCTGCTTGTTCATTACTAAGAATATCGTTGGTCTCAAGGAAAAAGGTCGGCCTTCTGCTAATTATCCTTTCCATCAGTTTAGCCAGAACGCTTGTGTTGAAGATAGGCCTAATGTTGTCAAAGTTGCTAGGGTCATTGCCGTTTTTAGTTCTGGTATTACTATGGCAACTGTCCATTGGTTAAGTACGAGACTGGCCTCTCAGATTTTGTTGAAAATCGTCAGCATGGTTTCCTTGACTGTTGGTCCCATTCTAATTAGAAATTCCGGATGAATACCATCTTTGCCAGGAGACTTTTTCACCTTAGTTGTTTTATCGCAGCATAATGTTCACAAGGTCTGAATGATCCTGTAAGTATATTATTTGGTGATGCTATGTCTTCCTTAATTTCACCAAACTGTCTTACTTGTATCTTAAAATCTCTTGAAGATTTTCTGACAAAAGGCTTTTTATTTTGCTTGTGTGAATAGAACCTCGCAAAGCAGTTGGCTATTTCGAAGTCGGTGGTAAGCGATTTGCTATTTAAGCGTATTTGTTCTTTCTTAGATCTTTCCCTGTTGTTTTGGATGTTATCCAGGAATTTGAAAGTGCGTTGGCTATCACTTTGACCAGAAATTTGAAAGTGCGTTGGCTATCACTTTGATAGTTGATATTGTTGGAAAGTGCGTTGGGTATCACTTTGATAGTTGATATTTGAGATTCGAAAGAAGTGCGTTTAGCTTGCAAGATGGCTTGCCATAGTGGAAGTCCGTTTAGCTTGTAAGATGGCTTGTCTTAGAACAGAAGCTGATTGTCGTCTCCAGGCTTTTACGTCTTCCGTTCTTCCCGGCTGATTAGAGGTGTTGCGAAGGGCGTCCCGCTTTCTTTTCAGTTCTTCAAGGTGTTTAGACCAAAACACTCTGATGTGTTTAGTCTTGCCTCGGGGAATAGTTTTCTTTGCACATCTGATCATAATATTCGTGATATCAGTGCAAAGTTTGTCAGGATGTTGGTTGAAGTTGAGAGAACATCTGTGAAGTTCATTCTCTAAAAGGTTTGTGAATCTAGGCCAGTCAACCTTCTTGAAGTTCCATGATAGCTTAGTTGGCACTTTCGTTGTCATGCTTTGCTGCCGATGGTAATACTAGGGATGACTGGTTTGTGACCAGAGCCAGAATGGTCAATTATTTTGCTCGCTGATGTTGCTTGAAGCCAAGAGCAAGCCATGAGTTGATCTGGTTCCATTGTAGTGCTAATATGTAGCGGTATCCTCGTTGATCGTTACAGAGGGTTGCTGTTTGGCAAGTCTTTGATTTCCTTTCCAGTTATGTTAGTATCCTTGTAGGCCCATCATGTGGAATGGGCGTTGAAGTCTCCTTATAATACAGTTTTGTGTGAGATATTCAGGAAGTCAAAGTTGGGACAATTCTGGAGTGGATTATAAACTGCGTATATCTCGAAGTGCTTTTGACATCTCCAAACGTTTAGTCTGTTAATATCAAACGTGGCGTTAAGTCTATCGCGCACCCAATATTGGTAACATTGTTTGTGGCGACTTCATGTCTACTTCAACCGCACTCGCTAATCCCAAAGTTGAATCAAATTGGTGGAGTAAGTTTAATCTAATTCAATACAAATTAAAAGTGTTCAAAGTTTATGCACAGAAGCGAAATGAAGTCGAATTCAACGTGACAAGTAGAGTTAAATGTATCATTTCTTCCCTTTAACTTCTATTCTATTTTTCCTGTTTCTAGTAACCACTTTGGAATTCTAAAATTAACTTTTGATAACCCGGCTTCAATATGAATACTGCAACTATTTGCCTTACATTCAGATATTAAATAATTCTTTTTAGCAAAGGATTGTCATCGAGAAAGGACATTACGAAACGAAACTTGAAATGATTTGAGAGACATTGTGGAATCGTGTTAGAATAGTGTTTTCATCTCAATATGATTATGAAAATTGCAATTACATTTATACTCTGCGAGAACACGACACCTTTCAGTCAAAATAAAACACAAGATTTGATCATAGGGCCGATTGCTCTAGGAAACCTGTTAATTGCTCACCAATGCTCATAAATGATGATTCAGCAAATATTTACCTTCAGTATTCTGCTAAACTCATTTATCGCATGCTTCTTAATCCTACGAAATGAAAAGTGCGGAATTTTAAAACTTTGTGTCAAAATCGTAAATCAAGATGAATGTATTTAGGTCGAACATTTTGGTACACGTTATATTTTCTTGTTAAAATCAATACATATCGATTAGAATCAATAAAAATAATCAAATTCGATACATTTTGACTTAATTCATGTTTGCCACCATTTCTCATATCTTAATGTGTAAACTGTCAAATTTTGACAAATAAAAATGAGGAGCGTTGAAAACGGCTGCCGATCGATTTGGGGAACAATTTTAAACAACCAAGCAATATTCTGGTTGATTTATTAACTGATAATTTCTTTAGATAGCTTTACGAACAACCGCCATAATTCAGACAATATCTACTTATAAATATTAAGTAGAAATTTATCTAAAATTATTTAGACGCAAATTTCAGTATTTTGAACAAATAAGCCTTAATTTGAAGATAGATATATTGAAACTAATAAATTTCATAAATAAATTGCTAGTTGATTACATTAATGCGTTTGGAAAGGTTGATTTGGCAATTTAATCATCAGTTGAATTATCACAATTCCAATTGAATGAAGCCAACTTAAATGGTCCAATTGATCGCAAATTGCCATTGAATCAAATAACGGGATTAGACAAATTTACTTATTTAGTCGTTTAGCATCACACAAAATCACACTGCTTTATAATCCTTTTAGTGGTCTAACAATTGAAATATATTAATGTACAAAATTTGATGTGTTAACACAACCATTAATCAAACTCAGTTTTCATCAAATTATTCAATCCGAAATATGCCACTCTATTGACTGTATGGAAATCGAAATCGCGTTTGCCACTTCGTGCTGGCCAATAGTAGCCACGATTTTGACAACATCATTCCCAACCACCTTATCTTATTCAATTCAGTACACCTGCTCAGGATTGAACTGCATGTCAACAGATTGCTTGAGCACTTCGTACTCAGCCTTGAGTCCAATGTGAATATTTGCCAAAACATATTTCAAAACACCTTTATAAACTTAAAATGGATAGCGGTTGATCATTAGGAAGGAATTTCGTTGTACTCAAATCTCACGACAAATAATATTCCAGACAGTTGATAGTTGGTTTATTGCTTAAAATTCCATTTTGTGTTTAATTGTATCATTTGATTAAGTCGAGGGCTTTTAATTTATGTTATAACGAATGCCACAGAGAAATGAAAAAAGCCCAAATAGCTTACTTCGTTATTTTTGTCCCATCTACCCTTTGATATCTGCAACAACTGCTGGAGGTTCTATATTTCCATGCGGTGTTGTCACAATTCGTGAACAAGTTGAAGAGTGAAGAGTTGAAGCCTCCTTGAAACGAGAAGGTGGCACTACTGAAGAATTGCTAACAATTGCAGTCATGTTAAACTTCAAAAAACTCAAGGTGACTTTTGAGGGTGCTCACACACAGGGGAAGAATTATGGTAGAGCACATTAGTTAGTGGACACTCGAAGTCATATTGAATGCACGCCATGAAGCATAAATGGTAAAAATTGAGCCGTTAAATGACAAACTCATTGAAGCGGGGAAATTCGAACTTTCGAAATATGGGTCAGACTGAAGCACAATTTCTGTTTGATTTCAGTAGGTAAAAGCTGATAAAATATGCTCTATGCAAAAAGGTGTTCCTCTTCATTT